GCTACCATTATACTAATTTTTTATTGGTTGATTTTGATTTATTTTTTAATGTCAAAAATCAAAATTAATTATAATTCATTTATCTCATTTCGAAATTCAATTATTTATTTTGAAATAATATTTTTGATTTTTTTATAATTTTCCTAATTAATTTTTAAAAATTATTTTTTTATTATTACTTATATTACAAAAAAATAATTCATAAATTAAATATGAAGATATAAATAAAATTAAAAATAAAATTTTAAAATAAGAAAAAGCATTTATAAAAGTTAGCCAATAAAGAATTTACAATTGTAGTCATTTTAAGGATGACTACCATAGAATTTTCAAAAATACATGCCCACATTTTATTATTCTATCAAAATTAATGAAATAGTTCAAATTGGAAGTTGATTCTAAATTAATAAAAATTAAAAATATAAGTATAAATAAATTAATTGAATATTGTATTGATGTTATGATTTATTTACCAACTATAAAATACTGTCCATGCACAAATTTTTTTTTAAAATTGTTTATTTTTTAAGTTTTGTTTAGTTGGTGAAGTCCTAGCAATATATATCGAGCTTTGTCTACATCACTTGACCTTTTTGTACCTTTCACTACACTTCTTATATAAGAAAACAACTACTAGTTTGGAACTCAAATAATATAATGTAATATTCAAAGCAATAACCCAAACCACGGGCCATACATCACTAATTAACAATTGAATATTATATATAGTTGGCAATTTGGCATTAATATGGTCTATAAAATAGATTTGTTTTTATAAATCAAAGGACATTTGGCATTAATATAGAAGGGATCAATAGTTTTATCTCTTGGCGGCCTATATCGAATCATATTAGAGTGAATTTACTATTGGGCCAACTGAATTTTGTATATTTGATGCTAAATTGTTTTATGTAAGAGTAATATATATAATACAACAAAAATATAATTTGGAAGGTCGTTTTCCACCAACCATTGAAATGTTTGGCCTCTAGATATACACTTCGTACGTATATCATGTTACTTGTTAGTTGTTACTTTATTTTAGAGGACTTTTTAGTTGTTACTTGTATTAGAATAACTTAAAGATACTATATTAAAATCCAAACATTGTTTTTACCATGTAGTTTAATAAATAGATAAATAAATCATGTTATATGATTGTATAGCCATTGGAATAACTTAAAAGATACTATATTTTCCTCTCATAATGGAGTGACTACTTCATGGTTTCTTTTACACAAAACTTAGCCCATAATCTTGGTATTTTACCTTAGTCAATTTTGATCAAGAGCCATCGTCATAAGCACTTTTGATTATATGGTCAAAAGTTATGATATTGAATTTATAATAATTTATTTTTATATATTTAAATTATAGATAACTACTTATTTTATTACTCTCTTGATCTGCTTCTTTTTGTTTGTCCTATTTGCTTCTTGCATAGTTTTCAATGCAATATTGTAATTAAAATATAAATCAAGCCATGTATTAAACAGATTTCAAGATGAATCTACAAGACTTCACATAACTTGTTTTAAAGTATATATTTATCACTAAAATATTAGATTTTATTCCGAAGATTCCAAATAAGACAAACAAATAGAAATGGAGGGAGTATAATACTTAATGTCTTGCAAAGAGTGAGGGAGAGCTCAAGTAGTTAGAACTCCCCTCTCGATTTTAAGTCTTCCTGGAAGATCGAGTCTCATCACCTGCCATTGCGGCTCTCTAAAAAAAAACTTTATGTCTTGCATAAGTTGTTGTCGGCGTAATAATCCAAGATTTGCTACATACAAGTACTACGTATATTGATAATTTTGGTATTGAATTATCGATCTTACATTTGTTTTGGTTTTTTTTTTCCTTCAAAAGTGCAATTATGTCAATCTCAAAGTTTTGACAAGTTATTGTTGGTCTTTCTACGAAGTTCCACAAGCTAGAATAATTGAAATTAATTGCTAGCGAAAAAAGGAAAGTAAACCTTTTATAAAACATCATAAAATGTTACTCTCAAAACAGAAAAATAATTATTTTCCAAAATTATTGTACTTGTCCTCTTTGAAGAATTGCATTTTATTGAGTTGATGCATGAAAGTGACTTGAAAGGTTGTTCTTTAATTTTGAAATATATTTAGACAAGAAGACGAAGTTAAACATCGTTATTATATTACGTAAGGAATTGGAGAACATGGTTTACTCAATTGACTTATTGATGTAATTAGGCATTTGATTGTGGTGTGCTTGTGTACGTTTCCATTTCAATTTCTATTTTTGTGTATCCAATACGATGATATCTTCAATAAATGTAATGAAGAAAATGTAGTAGTTAGAATTTAATGGGTACGGAGAATATAAACCAACAATTATACTGAGTACAAATTAGCTTTAAGTTATATTTTACATAATGATGTGGTAGGTTGTACCACCCTATTTTTTATTTTGTTTTTCTTTTCCAGGGGCCTAGCCCCTTGTGCACCAAAAAAAAAAAAAAAAAAAAAAAAAAAAAAAAAAAAAAAAAAACTAAGTACAAATTTTTCACAAATAATATAAATGAAGCAACATAGTCTGCTGCTTTATTGCCCTTTCTATAAATGTGGCGCGAATTAGCATTAGTGAAATTTCGAATCAGTTCCTTGATGTCTTCCATCCGTAGCTTTCCATCAGTATTTTCCATCTGTAGCCTGGACAATACTTGTGTTTTATTTTGGGGAAGGGAGAGGGGTGTACGAAAGGAGGGGAGGGTTAAGGGTTCTTCGGTAGAAAAAGAGGAATTGTATAATTATATGACAAAATTAACAACGAAAATTAACAACGCAAGGAACAATAAGTTGCTGCAATGAGACATTATATGCAAACGCACTAAGATATGAAGTAAGTCCTTTTGTAAGGACAAAAATAAATTTAATGAAACTGCCCGTCTGCCCATGTAATTTTATACAGTAACAATTAAAAATTTACCGCTTTTATTTGTAATTTTAATTAGTTAATGTTTCTTTCTTGCTATCACTTGTTCTACTAGCTGTTGTATTGATTTTAAACACTTCGTAAAAAAAATTCCCTTTTCTTAAGGCTATTTTTACCTCTTGCTAGTTTATACCATCTATATAAAGTTGATTCTTTTTATGTTTTCATTTCAGGATCCTCTATGAATAAACCACACAAGACAAAGTATGAAGAAGAAGTTTACCATGACAAAGAAATTTTCTTTCAAAACTACAATGAAATGAAAAAAAACCCTTAAAATCTACATATATCCACACAAAAAAGATGAACCGTTTGCTCATGCCCTACTTCCAACAGATGATCACTATAAACCCGGGGGTAATTATGCAAGTGAAGCATACTTAAAGAATGTACTCTTCAAGAGCCATTTCGTCACCAACGATCCCTCCGAAGCAGACCTCTTCTTCTTGCCCTTCTCCATTGCTAGCTTGAGGCATGATCGAAAGATCGGAGTTAGTGGCCTTTCGGATTTTATCCTTAACTATGTGACCAACATTATTCAAAATTACCCTTATTGGAATCGAACCGGGGGTGCTGATCATTTTTATGCTGCTTGCCACTCTATTGGTAGGGTTGCTATGGAGAAGGTTGATCAAGTGAAAAGTAATGCTATCCAAGTAGTTTGCTCATCTAGTTATTTTCTTACCAATTATTTTGCTCATAAAGATGTTTCCCTCCCACAAATTTGGCCAAGGCATGAAGAGCCTCTAGATCTTGCTTCACATTCTAAAAGGTAAGAATTAATAACTACTCCGTATTATATATTTCGTACTTAAGAATGAAAAACATGTTACAATATTAATTAAAAAATCAGTTTTAAAAAATCAGTATGAACATTCATGTAAATGGTGCAACATTGGCTAGTGTTGGAAAAACATTTCAACTTTAACTAGTAGTAAAAGAAAGTGCAAATTTGTTCATATATTCTTTCTACTCCAATAAATATAAACTAATTTGTTACACATGTAAAATTAAAGCTATTTTGCAACATACTAACATAGCATATGTTCTTTGTTGCATTTACACCTTAAAAAAAATCTAACATTTTTTTCTTATATTTCTTGATACTCATCAGAAAGAAACTGGCCTTCTATGCCGGAACAGCAAACTCACCACTACGAAAAGCAGTGGTGCAAACATGGGAAAATGACTCTTCCATCTTTGTTCACGGTGGGAGGTTGAAAACACCATACTCGGAACAACTCCTAGGAAGCAAATACTGCCTACATGTTAAGGGATTCGAGGTAAACACAGCTCGAGTAGGGGATGCATTTTACTATGGATGTGTACCAGTTATACTAGCAGACTACTATGATCTCCCTTTCATGGACATCATAAATTGGAAGAGTTTTTCGGTCGTTATTACATCTTCAGACATCCCTAACTTGAAGAAAATTTTACTAAGTATTAGCCCAAAGAGATACTCAGTTTTGCAAGCTAATGTTTTGAAGGTTAGGAAGCATTTTCAGTGGAATAATTCTCCTCTTGATTTTGATGCTTTTTATATGGTTATGTATGAACTTTGGCTTAGAAGAAGCACCATAAGAGTCATGTATTAATATTCTATAAGGTCATTTAAATTAGTTGATGTAAATTGTGGTTAATCATCTTTGTAATAGTAACTAAATTAATTAAAAGAGGTCAATTGAATTTGTAGCATCTTGAAATAGCAGCTGTACATGTAGAATTGAAGGATAGAATTAAAGATAAATTTTTATGCATATTTTGAGGTGTCCTATGGAGTGGTCAGTGTTGTCTACTCCGAATATATCAAGACGAAATTAACAAAATTCCACGTAACGAAATTAACAGAGTGTGTGAATAATGTAAAATTTGAACAATAAGAAATCATGTAAAATATAAACAAATCTTGACTGGACTGCTGTTTTGATTGCAAAAGCAGCATATTCAGCCATTCAGGTTAGTATTTGCCCAAGCAAAGTTGTACTGTCTTTCTGATCAATGATTACATAATCCAAATGATGAAAGAAAAATTAAGATGAGAAGAAAATTGAAATTACTTCAAGTCCAAGGCATTCAGAAGATAAATGAAAATGGTGATGCCAGAAAGAATAAAGTTACATACACACGGCGTTTGGAAGAGAAAATAAAAGGGATATAGGGATCATAATAGGTCTGAGCAACATGAAACAAAGGGAAAAATCTGGGTTTGTAGATATTGGAACAACTGATTCACACAAAGCTGATGAAGTTACAAGGAGAATAAACTCACAAAATCAATTTTTTTTTACCTATTTTGTATTTTGGGGAGACAAGGATTTCACATGATCTTGTTATATGTATAGAATGTACGAAAGGAAGCAGGTCAAGCACCGTTCTTGCTTTGCCAAGGCTTGAGTACACCTAGTACGACAATAGCAACAATGATAAGAAGGATTATAATTGCGATGCACATCCATTTACGTGAGTTCTTCTGCAAGCTCTTTGCCTTTTGCAATGCTGTGTTTCCTGTGTTTACGTGATCTACAGCATTTGAAACCTAAAAAAGGGGAATGAATGCCATAATTTATTGCAATTAGTATAATAATCAAGTATCCTAGTAATATATATATTCAGAATTCTCATGAAAATAATAGCTTTCTTTTTGTAATTTTGGAAAGCAATTGCTTTCTCTCGTTTCACTTTACCTGTGTTTCGATATTGTCAAGCAAATCTCCCTGGGCATTAACCAGAACAGCCATGTCCATAAAAATCTGCATACAGGAAACAAAAACATGAGAACTACTCGCTGCTTAAGTGTTAAGTATAGGGATGCCATATTGTCTACTGATATACAGCATCAAATTTGTAATATATATTTCCCAAAAAAAGGGGAAGAAAGTTTGAGGTGTTCTATTAATCAAGGTTTAGCCTTAAGTTTCAAGAGCATGAATCCATAGCAAATATATGCAATGCATCGGTAGACAGTAGCTGCTTAAACGAGGTGAACAGATGGGTTGATTAGCAATTGAGTGTTTGGAGAGATGAGGGGAAATTGAGACTTTGAGAGCGCCAAATTTTCAAGTGATTTCACCATACAAAAAAGGCTGCAATGCTTCAACTGTGGAGGGCTAGACAAAGATTCGCAAGGTTGTTGTAAGGCTCATGACCACCTTAGCTTTGAACCTGATGAGTTCCTTAACTACGTATCACATTAACAGTCAACTCAAGGATAGGTTGGTTTGGCGACATTCAAAAAAATGACTACTAGGGGATAACTTTGTGCGATGGACGGGTTCTTTGGTGCAAGTATAGTCATCCAATATCACTCACATCAAACTTTTAAAAATTGATTCCACCCCCCCAACACCCACAAACACACACAGAAAATCCTTTCAAGTTCAGAAATTGATAGTGCAGGACTGCAGGTGCGCTACCCACTAAACTTATATGAAAAAGAATCCCACAAGCTATAGATTGTGGATTTACAGGTTGGGGTGCAGACATGGAGCAGAATCTGACGTTCAAGCAAATATCAAGTGACCCCAATCTATTTGCGTGTGGGAAGCTGCAAAGAACTTCCAAATAACGGGCGGTATTTCATATTTGACATGATTTGGTTGGCATGAAATGAAAGAAGTGGGCCTTCCTTGGGAAGTTGAGCAAACGAGTGCCATTTTGTAAGAAGTTCCACGACTTCCACTTCTCACGGGAGTTTAATTCCCAAGAGAACCAAACAAGCATCAACAACATCATGCTAAAATCTAATGGATATACCTGTTGCAGCTCGAGCAGCTTTCGCTCTACATCTCTAACAGCATCATGGCGCTCTTGTATTTCTGCAAGTGTATCCATTATCTGCAGGAATGGATAAGTAGATATACAATTATGCAACTGATATTAATGTTAAAAATTGACTAATAAACTAAAGACCCAAACATTAACCAATAATCATTACTCACTACACCTGGAACTCTGGAAGTGATAGTCATATACGGTGTTTTGAGATTTCATGATACAGCTGTTGCATTCTCTAGTTCTAGTTATTCATACTAATAAACTTATAAAAAAAAAAAAAAAGAAAGAAAGAAAGAGAGAGAGAGAAAGAAAATGATCATACTACTTTAAATATTTGAAGAAATTTCAAACTAATCATATCAAATTCTAACTATGATGAATTGGGATTATCTGATGCTACTTTATGAACTAAGGGAGTACAAGTTAAAATTGATTTTTTTTTTTTTCGTTAAAATATAGTGCTGTCACTGCTGTGCATAACTTATGCTTCTCATAAAGCAGACTAAAGCCCACCTATGAAAACTTATGTTAGTATGAACTATAAAGTTGTTTAGCTAGCCAAGGTGGGTACAAGGGCGGAGCCAACACAGGGGGAGAGGGGGGGGGGGTGGTGGAGGCCCGGCCCCCCATGGCCCAGCAGGTGACATGAGCTTTACATGGTGAGAAAGGTCTTAAGTTCAACTCCCACTATGAGCGTATTTTTTCTCCGTTTATTTATTTTTTTTTTTAATTTCTAATTTTTTTGGGTTAACTATATGGAGTCTAGGCCCTTTTATTTTTACTGTATTTCTTTTTTTTTGGTTTAACTTTATCGAGTTTTGGCCCCCTTAGATTTTTATTTCTGGCTTCGCCCCTGGGTGTATACATGCAGCGCCTGTTCCATTAATTATGCCCCACGATTAGACAAAATGAGCCTGTACAAGAAAATTGATAAACCAAACTACAGTAACAGGTAGCCTAATTTCAAAATAGCTAAGAGCCAGGTGAACCTAGCTATTATACAGTATACAACTATACACTATAACAAATTAAAAAAGACAAAAATAAAGTAGAAGCCAAGAATTTAAAATGAGATTGGACATGCAAATAAAAAAGAAACATATTGACAAGAAGGTTTTTCCAAACCAATCCCGATTGCTGAGTACCAAAGGCATTCTGATCTTATTATCAGTTCCAACATCTCGAATCTTGCAAATTTCCAAATTGATACTTATAAAAAGAATTCAGCAATTCTTGACCTTTTTTTTCAAACATGAACAAAATTTAGAAAATAAGCAGATAAAGGATCCTCCAAAATATAGCACAAACAAGTTGTTTTTTATTAAAGAATGAAATTAATGCCCAAAATTATCTTATTGGTTAATCACTTGTTCTTAGTATTTTTAATACTATTATGGATATATAATTACAAATATTTCTCAAGAATGATTATGATCCCTAGTACTTATTTGACTTTTCTGATTTTAATGTAGTGAGTGTATAAAACTGGGGAAAAAAACACTATCTTCCAAAGCTTCTAGTAGTTTACAACCCCTTTGCTTTAAGGCCATTTACAACACCTATAAAATAATGTAATAAAATAATCTTTTAGAATATCAGTGGTACATCATAACTATACCCAGACAGCAATCTTAAACCTTCCAAGTATTGGACTAAAGTTTTCTTTAATTAAACACCCAACAAATGGCAGCCTGAAAAGCTATGCACCACTACACAGGGTATTTTCCGGCAATAATTTTCCTACAGAGATAAGACACTAAGAGGGTGATTCTGCGATCTAACTGCTTAATTTAAAGAAAATAAAACAGGGTTAAAAGACACACCTGACCACGACCTTGCTCTTGTATTGCCTTCTGAAAGATTTGTTCACTATCACCAGTCTCAATTAATTGATCTATTGTCTGCAAGTAAACATGAGTATCACACAATTAAGCAAAAATAAACTTGCAGCTTAGCGGGTCATAGATATTTTATCGCAAGAAATAACAATTCACCTCTTCATCAGCTCTTTGACCCGTTACTGCGAAGCATAGAAAACCAAAGACATCATCAAATCATCATCAAAGCTTCAAGAATAAAGATTAACAAATTCGTTATCAGCAAGCCAAAAGGTGAACCTGTATAAACACGACGCTCAACAACTTCCCGGTACTCTTGATGAATATTTTCACGTAATGTCTGCAGAGAATAAAAGTAAGCAGAAAACCAAAAAATGAAAATTTGGCTCTCGTCTGAAAACTTGACATTACCTGAAACTCTGCCATCTTATCTCTCAATTTCTTCTTTAATGCACTGCAAACAACATAGCAATCATTATTATTGAGCACAACAAACTTCATCGGGATCCCAAATGAAAATTTTGCTAAAGTTTAGGTACTAAAAATTCTAATTCATTGGAAATGTAAACGAACAGAACTTAATGCTACCAAAGAATCTGTTTACACAAGAGTATTAAGAGAAATTTACAAAAGAATATTACAGTTCTATGCATCTCTAAAATCATTCAAATTCCTAAGCTTTAATTCTAAGATTAATTTCTTTCACCAGAACCCTAGCACCACTTAAGGCGCATATAAACTACAGGAAGATCCTTCTTAGAATCAGGCATTCAAATATTTTTGTTTTATAGGGCCAACCAAGGCTCATTCTGATATCTATTACAAACCTGCATTCTGGGAATTCAAATCATAATTGAAATCTGTAATTACTCTAGGTGGTTCAGCCAATGGCATACAGCCCATACTTCACAGAAGTTTATAGTCCACAAGAAGACATTTGAATGAGCTTTGAGGTTTGTTTTAGTAAATTTGAAGTTTCCCATGTAACTACTCTAATTTCTACTAACTAAATGCACTAATACAATTATGCAAACCAATAAAGTCCAAAGGAAATTTGAGGAGAAAAGAATAAGTATAGGGGGTAGGAAAGAGGCCACACAAAACCATAAATCATATATAACATTAATCCCACGACAAAAATGAGCATCATCTGACACAAGACTTACACTGTCTGTGTTGACCTGGTACGCTCTATAGCTGTTCCTTTTCCACATCCAGGCTTCTGCAGGCTTGAAAAATTCTGGAAGAGAAAGAAAGGTCAGCTCAGATATTCAAAGACATAAAGTCAACCAAATAAACTAAAGCATCTTACGTCTTTATCTAGTTCTTCTATTTTTGACTTAATAAGCCGGGCAATCTTTTGGACTTCATCTACATCTTTCTCCATGCGCTTCTTGATAGCTTCAGATAAAGAATTGCAAAAAATAAGGTTGTGCGTACACATAGTTTCAGAAAGCAGACTTAAAAAGCATGATTATGTACTATTTCTAGCATACAACAGAAAGATAAATTACAGCCTTATTGCCCTTATACATAAGTAAAAGCACATATGCCATCAAAAAAGTTCTCACCCTTTCAAAATGCAATCTACATAATGGTAAGTTTCTATTTCTTTTTGAAAGAAAGAAAATTAAAAATCTAGAAGAGGAAAAAAAAACGACAGGACACAGGAGGACCAACAGTTGACACAAATAGAATCAATACAAATTAAATGAAACCTTCAAGCCTTGCTATAAATTATACAAACACACACCATCAAAGCCTTAATATAGAAACCTCAAAGAAAGGATTTAGGATTTTCCCCTCCCTATAGGGGTTAAAAGAACCAAACTTATACTTATATTTTCCCTAAAATGTCTGCATTTAGAATCTAAACATGAAAGTCAAAAATCTTCATTCCAAAGAAGGGCTCATGCATTAATTTTGAAATCTATTAAAGGAGAATACAAGAACTGAAAGAAAATTACAGGATAATGAGTTTCTAACCAGAAACCTAATTTCAAGTTACGTGTGTGGGTAGCAACTAATTAGTTTCCTTCCTTAAATAAAACTTAAAAGGAGTGAACAATCACTTCTAGCCAATCACTAGGACTTGAACAGACTACAAAAGGATAAGAACATGCATATACAACCACAGGGAACTAGAGTTTACCTTTCATAGCAGCAGCCTTTGTTACAGCTTTTGACTCCTCATGAGCATTCTGCATGCAAGATTAATTAACAAGTGAGAAGAAAGACATCAATGATTTCTATTCCTTGCACAAACACGGATAATACTAAAACTTTGCCAAGCAGTGTTGAAAGTACAGCTAACCTGAAGCTTTCTAAGAAGCTCATTGAGTTTCTCATATTGTTTGTCTATCTCTTGAACCTAGAAAAAAAAGTAGTTCAGTAATTAAAAGTGATGAAGAAAAAGAGTAACATAATGTTTCCCATCTACAACATGAGATCAAGCTTTATTACTTGATTGGAAGAATGTCTCCCATCTCCTCCACAGAAAAATAAATATGAGCGCACACAAAGAAATATTTAACATAAGGAAATTGAAAAACCTAAGGAACAGAAATATATACCTTCTTAGAGAAAATTTGCAAACCCAATTCTCCTGAATTCTGAAGATTTTCCCCCATCTCAAGATCACCACCTCGCGATGATTCCCCGCGTGGGATCTCAAATGAATCCTACAGGTTATAACCATGTTTATTAAAATAGGAAAGAAGACAAAAGGCACAACTTCACACACACATCAACATAAAAGGGAAAGATGAACTGTGTCCACTTAAAAATCTTTGTAAGACCTTAGCGTCTAGGACAATTCTGGTGTCAAAAGAGCAATAGATTAGAAGGCAAATTGTATGAGTGTGTGCTATAATAAAAATATTGCTAATTTATGATAGATACAAGCACTTATGAAAAGAAAAATGAATTATACAGAACTATAACTCTATGAGCAAGAAGATATAATGACTAAAGACCTCTAACTAAGTTCAAAAGAAACCCTAATAAGTGGGGATAACATTGCACCTAAATCTAGAGCTATGAGAAGGAAAATCTGAAAAACAAGTGATTTGACCAATGACATAAAACTCATTGAAGTCTATAAACTCTCTCAAAGAAGAAGATGCTATTATCTTCATGTGCGATTACCCCAATTACAGGATGGGCAATTGGGCAAGGCACTAGATTATTTGCAGATACTAGGACAAAGCAGTGTTGTGCAGCTTAAATTTCTTGTTACCCATAAACAATGGAAAATACACAACAAATCTTTAAAATCTGATCCATTCAGCCTTCAAAAATCCCATTCTAGTTAAGTCAAATTAAACAAGACCTACAGTAAATTCCTGATAAATCAGGCTACACAAAGCTATTTCCACAATGTCAGGTCCAGAGCTCTAGATAGAACAATACAGAAGCTCACATATCCTTTTTGGCTAATCTACGACAGAAATGAACAAGATAAACAACCCATAAGTTTAAGAGATTCTTCTGATAAGTTCAAGTTTCCAAGGTTCGTATTCATAATCACCTAAGCAAATCCTGGCTTCAACAAGTGAACTAAGGTTGGTTACTTCATATCTCGACCCATCAACAGCTATATCAAGGCATCTAATATATGGCGCTTTGACAGCAATAAATTGGTTCTCATGACATATTTTCAGTTTATCCAAGGTCAGAGAATCTATATATAGCTCTTTTATGCCTTCACAATATTTAATCATCAGCTCTTTAAGAAAAGGGCAACCTGAAGTAAGAATCTTCATCACATCTGTACCTATAAAACCTCGATTCATAAAGGTATAGAGTCTCAAGTTTTGGTAGATGCAAGCTCAACCAAACATTGATTTCAAAAGTACAAAATAAAGCTCCAGCCATGTTCATCATGCTCAACACAAGTGTCTGACGAGCAAATAAGTCCATTGGCAGGCGCATAAGTTTATTTGGTAAACCCCAATCATCTTTAACAAGATAAAGCTCCCAAATTTTACGCCTCAGTACAAAATTGATCAAAGAAAAAAAAAAAAAAGAACCAGATCAAAAGCCCCTTAAAATGGCAAGCTTAATCAAATACTACCCCGTTAAAATCAAACCAAAAATGAACTAAAAAAAAATAGAAAAATTCATACAATGCAGAATTATACAATCAATTAAACCAATAGCCCCAGATAAAAATTAATTATTGTAACAGCATGATCAAATTAAAACATCAAAAATTAACAAACCCCATATCAAAAAATTACATATCATTGCATCCCACATTGAATTCAAAAGGGTAATTGCCAAAACTCAAAAAGAGATTAAATTGAAATTACCGAAAGTAGATTGTTCATTGTATCAGTAGATGGGTTGAAAACAGATTCAACCCTCTTCTTCCTCAGCAAAGTAGTACCTCAAATTGAAGTGGGAGATCTATAAAAATTGCCCCCTTTTTGAATTTGGAATAATACAAAAAATATAGAGGTGTATTTCAGAAACTAATTGACTTGGGTTTTGAATGAAAAAGAGCAAGAAAGAGAAAATGAAGAAATTGAGAGACAACCTGGCCAAAGGGGGGGGAGTGGAGAGAGAAACGCACGAAAGTTTTTGTTTTTATTTTACTTTTACGAAATTCAATTTAAATAATAAATTACATTGTTCATTCTAATGATAATTCAGGGGTGAATTAAGTACTCGTAATACTATTCAAAAAAAAAAAAAAAGTACTCGTAATAATATTACCTGCCATTGTCGATTTGTTGTAAAGAAAAAAAAAAGTTCAAAAAGGAAAGAAATTAGTATATTCGGTTGTTCAATTCGGTGGTCATTTGTTTGTTTTTTTTTTTTTTATTTATTTTTTTTATTTTTTTAAAGATAATATTTGGTGATCAAGTTTTCACATTTTTTACCTTTTGGTGATTAATTTTTTTTTCATTGTAGTTTGGTGATTGAGGTCAACTTTTCGGTGATATTAATTAAATTGGACTTAAAAACAGGCCCATTTCTGAGATTTTGGTGGCCTAGGGCGAACATATAGAGTGGGGCCCTAATGATCAAGCGGCGATGACCACCACCACCCTGATCGGCGACCCACCATACCCTCCTCTATGACAACCCACCACCTTCCCTCGCCGGCGGGAAGGTGGTGGTTTAATATATATTTTTTTATTTCAGGCAACCGCGGTAACCGGAACCCAAAACCGGTTACCGTGCACGATAATCGGAGCCCAAAACCGGTTATTGTGCACGGTAACCGGTTTTGGGCTTCGGTTACCGCGCACGGTAACCGGTTTTGGGCTCCGGTTACAGTGCACCTTAACTGATTCCATGGTAACCGGAGCCCAAAACCGATTATCGTGCCCGGTAACCGGTTTTGAGCTCCGGTTGGTACGGTTGTCAAAAGAAAAACCACCACCTTTCCGCCAAAGAGGGAAGGTGGTGGGTCATCTTTGAAGGGGATGTGGTAGGTCGCCGGTCAGGGTGGTTGTGGTGGTGGTCGTCTTCGCCGGTCAGTGTGGTGGTGGTGTTAGTCATCAATTGGGGTGGTGGTGTCAAGGTGTTAGTGATTGGTGGTAAGAGGGAAGATAGTGGTGAAGTACTAAGGGTATGGTTGTCAATTCACACTAAATATTGCGTGGTTTTGATCATTTTGGATGGTGGTATATAACACCCCCCAAAATAGTTAGTTGTAAACGATATAAGAAATTAAAAAATTAGGTCGCTTGTTTAATTACAATAATAAAAAATAAAAAAAAAAACCTTTAAAAAATCTAAATTAAAGATACTAATTTACTACTTCCTCCGTCCCTAAATTACATTCATATTTCTACCATTTATTTCTCACATAATAGAGAGAAGTGGGAATGTAATTTAGGGACGGAGGAAGTACTACTCAATATCTTTCGAAAAAAAAATTACTACTACTCAATAGTCAAAACTACTAGTAAAATATACCCTTAATTTATGTACAGTAATTAATTTCTACATAAGTGTATCATCACATTTATCTTAATTTTTATTTTTTGAAGGAAACATTTATCTTAATTAAATGCTTTTGTTGTTACATTTTTATAAATTTTAATTAAAGTTTAAATTGTAGAGCATAAACTTAACGAAATTCATATTGTTTTACAGCTATTTTTTTAAAAAATAAGAACGAAAAATTCGTAATATGAAAAAGATCGAACACAAATCTTGTATTATTAAACAATATCACAGCGATTGGTGAAAGATTGAGAAAATTTAATCCAAAATTCAGATGATAGAACAGAATCACTCAAATTCAATAAATTAAGTAGATTTTGTAAAATAAATAAGAAGATTAATTATTATACCGAGTAGATGAATTATGGACTACAGTCCATTTTACTGGTAATTGATATATTATGCCAACCGTTGAAAACTAAAAATTATATCAACGTTTAAATATTTTTCATCTTTAATTGATTTTACTAGAGATTTCTTTTGATAAATATGGAGTAATAGAATTTGGATAGACTTTGAAAAATTTAAAGAGATACGAAGTAATTAACTTAAAAAAAATATCAAAAGGGGAGAACTGAAGTGAAAATCAAGGGAATTGCTTTGGAAGTGTAACTTGCACTGACACAACTGACGAATTGTAAAAGTACTATAGTGTATCCGTGTAAAATGCACGGGAAATATATAAAAATTCTAATAACAAAATTATATTTCAAATACATGAAGTTGATTTTTATATAGTATATAATAAAATTAGTAGTTTTTTAGGTAGTTGTGTATTATTAGGAAAAATAATAGTGGAAGTTATTTGAAGATTTATTTTTTTTTAGAGAGGTAGAAGTTATTTGGATGCCAAATAATAAAAAATAAAAAAAAAAAAAAAAAAAAAAAAAGAGAGTTAATGAGATTTAAGAGTTGGGGTTTTGAAGGATTGTGGTGAAGTGTTGCAAAATTAACTCTACAGTTATATATTAGACTAGAGTGTACCCGTGCAAAATGCACGGGATATATAAGAAAAAATATATTTAAAACATGGAAAGTTAATCTTGATGGTATAACTTATACTTGGGCTGCAATGGTCGGTTTTGGACTGGTCGACTCTGTTAAACCCAGCTTAGCTTTGCTCTAGTGAGTATTAATAATCGTATTAAAAATGTGCTGACACTTGTTCTATCGTGCTGACACCTGCTTTGCATATGATATTCCCTGCTTCGCTTAGAAGCTCAAAAAACAGGGTCTTACTCTTTTTATGTCGGCGGCCATGCAATGTAGCTAGATATTATGGGGTTTACTTTGTCAAAGTTATAGAGGTTACCCGTTTAGTGATATAGGGGTTACTTGGGTTACTCGGTTAGTGTCATATGGGTTATATGCATGTCTTGCTCTAAGAGTTGTATACTTTAATCTGTTTCAAATAGTTATTCGGTGAGGTCAGTTGCGCAAAAACGTGTTGTACTTTTTTTCTTTTTTTTATGATTAGAGAAGTGGAATTGTTTAGAGGGTAGTCCCTAAAAAAACATGCATATAATTGAAGGGTTGGAGATTTAGAATACTATAGTGAATTGTTGATAAAGGATTTGTATACTCGTGCTGATGCATGACATATATTATACTATGTACCAAAAAATACTCGTAAAACAAAGTGAAATGTTGGGGATTTTGAGTGTTGTAGGGAACTATTGATAAAGGAATTGTATACTCGTGCTAATGCATGTCATATATTATACTACGTACCAAAAAAAAACACGAAGTTAAATGTTAGTAGTAGTTTCTTGAAAAAAAAAACAAAAAGGAAATATTGGATGGGTAGTTATTTTTTTTTTTAAAAAAAAATGAATAAAAAATAAATAAAAATAAAGTTGTTAGATAGGTAGTTATTTTTATCTTTAAAAAAAACGTTAAATGCATGAGAGTTGAGCATTTGGATTTTGGAGGATTTTTGTGAAAAGTATCTCTGTAATATTTTTTTTTTATTTTTTTTTGACAAAGTGTCTCTGTAATTATAATATAGAAGCTGATTTTAAAAAATATAAATAAACAATTAGAAGAATTTTTAAAAAGGAAAATAGAGGAACTTATGGTGGCGATATTATTTTAAAAAAATGCACGTAATTTTGGAAAAAAAATGTGCAATTATTGTAATATTGGTGTTTCTAAAAAAAAACGTAGGTAGTTTTTTGGGGTAGTGTGTGTTATTAGGAAAAATAATAGTGGAAATTTTTTTGGAGGGTTCTTATTTTTTTTTTTAAAAAAAGACAGGTGGAAGTTATTTATAGGGCAAAAAAAGGAAAAAAAAAAGGAGTGAATGAGAATTGAGAGATTGAGTTTTGGAGTGTTGTGGTTAAAAGTTGGAAAAACCACTCTACAATTATAATATAGATGACGTAGTTTTAGTTTGTTTTTTTCCCTGTAATTTTGAGGCCCCTTTTAAACAAATTATGGGCTTTAAAAATATGGGCCTAGACGGTTGCCCCACCTGCCCCGCCCCAGATACGACCCTGCTTAAAACTTAATCACTTGTGGTTAAAAACTTAGGGTATGTTCACATTAACTGAACTAAGCTGAACTGAACTGATTGGAGCTGAATTGAACTGAACTGAACTGATTGGAGCTGAACTGAACTGATTGGAGCTGAACTGAACTGAATTGAATGTTTTATGAGAGAGAAAAATTAGGAGCTGAACTGAACTGATTGAAGCTGAACTGAACTAAACTAAACTGAACTAAACTAAACTAAACTAAACTGAACTGAACTGAAATTAAGTAAATGTGAACAAACCCTTAGTCACCTAAAGATAACAATAGGAGTTAAGCTGATGTCATTTTTTTTTTTTTGGTTTTTATCAAAAACGTCAGTTAACGAAATGGCGTTTCTGCTCCCTTTGTTCCCCAATTTCGTACGCTCTTCCCTCTTCCCTTCTCTCTGTATTATTTACTCAACAAAAGACAAAGGCAAAGGATATTATCCCCTTCCTTTTCATCTTCTATTCTCTTTTAGAATGAAGCCGAAAAATATTTGCACGAATGATTCATAACTGCATGTTAAGGTACAATTCTGATCTTTTTACAATATTTTTTTTTTGTAATTGCATTTTATTGTTGTGTATTGATGATGATTTGTTGACCTAGTTAGAGTTTATATGGAACTTTTTTATAAAAAAAAAAAAAAAGAAAACAAAAGCCCTTCTAATCATTGTTATATCTTTGGTAAATCGTTGAATAAGTATTATAATTTGTGGAATTGTTGTTCTTTTTTTAATTGATCGAATTTTCGAATGTGTTACTCAAGTAATGTGATGCTAAGTATAGATTGATTTACATTGTTAGTATTTTTGAAAACAGAGTATATGTTTGTATGAATTATGTGAAATTGTGGGTGTTTTAACACCATAATTGTTGGGTGTTTTGTAAACACCATGATTGTTGGGTGTTTTTTTTAGGGGAGATTAATCCAGTAGACGACCCTCTTCATGCGGGTGCTCTAGAAGATGCCCTACACGCCTTATCTATTCCAGAAATTTTATGCACGTATATCTTCCCTAAGTGCACCCCTCAAGCACAAGTTATGTGCAATTGCGTGTGTAAGTACTGGAATAAACTCTAGTTTCGGAAAGCCGGTCTGGATTCCTGATGTTGTGAGGGCGAGACAAACTAGTGAAAGGTGGCGGTTGGCATATGATACTATGCGGCATAATGG